AGGGTTTGAACCTGTACCACTTGCAGTGGAAGCTCGGAGTCTTAACCACTGACCCACCAGGGAAGTTCCCCCCTCTCCAACTGTATTTTAAAAAGGAAAAATATATATATATAAAAAAGGAAAAATATTATAATAAAATAACATCCATTTCTATAAGTAAATGCTTAGGCACAAGTACTCTGGGAGACTTTCGCAGGCAGATGCTAAAAATGCAAATTGATAGGGTTGCGCTGTGCAGCCACACGGATATCACATTTGAGGATGTGAATTTCCCAGATGGTACATGACTCTTGGTAAAATTCCGAACCAAGCAAATCATGGTCTTCCTAGGATTTACAGGGTAGCTAACTTCTTGGAATATTCTGGGTATAACAAAATAGTACAAAAGACCCTTTGTGATTATACATAAAACAGAGAGGTAGGTTCAGAGCCTACAAGTTTTTTGTTTGTTTGTTTGTTTTACCACCTTTGTGAATGTTCAGTGGAAGATTCAAAAGTCACAGCGGGGACACGGGACAATTCTTCATTTGACAGCACTGTCCCATGCATTGCAGGAGAGTTAGCATGTCTGGCTGTTGCCCACTCAATTCCAGGAGCTCCCCAATAACTGTGGAAACAAGAAGAGCTCCTTAAATTTCCCAGATGTTTCCCTGGGAGGGGGGTAACTTCCTGTTGAGAACTAATATGGGAGCGGTCAGCCACATGTGGTTAATATAGGGCTTTAAAATGTGTGTGTGGGGGCTTCCCTGGTGGCGCAGTGGTTGAGGGTCCGCCTGCCGATGCAGGGGACACGGTTTTGCTCCCTGGTCCAGGAAGATCCCACGTGCCGCGGAGCAACTAAGCCCGTGTGCCACAGCTACTGAGCCCGCGAGCCACAACTACTGAGCCCATGTGCCACGACTACTGAAGCCCGCGTGCCTAGAGCCCATGCTCTGCAACAAGAGAAGCCACCGCAATGAGAAGCCCATGCACCGCAACAAAGAGTAACCCCCGCTCACCGCAACTAGAGAAAGCCCACGTGCAGCAACAGAGACCCAATGCAGCCAAAAATAAAATAAATAAATTTTTAAAAATCCTTTGAGGGGCTTCCCTGGTGGCGCAGTGGTTGAGAGTCCGCCTGCCCATGCAGGGGACACGGATTCGTGCCCCGGTCTGGGAAGATCCCACATGCCGCGGAGTGTCTGGGCCCGTGATTCATGGCCACTGAGCCTGCGTGTCCGGAGCCTGTGCTCCGCAACGGGAGAGGCCACAACAGTGAGAGGCCCACGTACCGCAAAAAAATAAATAAATAAAATAAAATGTGTGTGTGTGACTTCCCTGGTTGGTCCAGTGGTTAAGACTCCACGCTTCCACTGCAGGGAGCGTGGGGCTCGATCCCTGGTTGGGGACCTAAGCTCCCATGTGCTGCACAGTCCAGCCAAAAAAAAAGAAAAATCAAAACAAACAAACAAATAAATAATGAAATATGTGGGGTCCCCGACTTGTGATGTGCTGACAGCGTAAAATGCTCACAGGATTTCAAGACTTGATATGAAAAAAAAAAAAGAGCATAAAATATCTCATTAATAACTTTAAAAAAACCAAGTATTTGTTGAAATGATACACACACAAAAAACCTCTGTTCTTCAATTGATTAATTAATTATTTTTTTCTTTTTGGCCATGCCACATGGCTAGTGGGATCTTAGCTCCCCAACCAGGCTTGAACTTGTGTCCTTGGCAGTGAAAAACCCCAAGTCCTAACCACTGGACCACCAGGGAATTCCCTAAAATTTTTTTATTATAGCCATCCTAGTGGCTGTGAAGTGGCATCTCACTGTGCTTTGGGGTTGCAGTTCCCTGATGTCTGATGATGTGGAACATCTAACTATAGCTTTTTTTTTTTTCGGTACGCAGGCCTCTCACTGCTGTGACCTCTCCCGTTGCAGAGCACAGGCTCCGGACGTGCAGGCTCAGCGGCCACGGTTCACGGGCCCAGCCGCTCCGCGGCATGTGGGATCTTCCTGGACCGGGGCACAAACCCGTGTCCCCTGCATCGGCAAGCAGACTCCCAACCACCGCGCCACCAGGGAAGCCCTAACTATAGCTTTTTGATGACAAAGTTTAACAAGTCCCTACAGGAAACAGGCTTTTGTCTTCCACAAAGAGACAAGAGATTCTCCAAGGTGCCTGGTAGGGACTGAATGTTTGTGTTCAACCACCCCACCCTCTCAGATTAATATGTTGAAATCCTCCCTCACAATGTGATGGTATTTAGAGATGGGGCATTTGGGAGGTGATTAGGTCATGAGGGTGGAGCCCTCACCGAGTAGGATTAGTGTCCTTATTAAAGAAGCCCGAGGACTTCCCTGCTGGCGCAGTGGTTAAGGCTCTGTGCTCCCAATGCAGGGGGCCTGGGTTTGATCCCTGGTCAGGGAACTAGATCCCACACACATGCCTCAACTAAGAGTTTGCATGCCACGACTAAGGAGCCTGCATGCTGCAACTAAGGAACCAGTGAGCTGCAACTAAGGAGCCCGCCTGCAGCAACTAAGACCCAGCGCCACCAAATAAGTAAATATTAAAAAAAAGAGAGAGACCCCAGAGTGTTCACTATTCCTGCCCACGTGAGGACACAGTGAGAAGACAGCCATCTGCAAACCAGGAAGCAGGGCCTCACGAGATAGCAGATCTGCTAACATCTTGACCTTGGACTTCCAGCCTCCAGTACTGTGAGAAATAAATGATTGTTGTCTAAGCCCCCCAGTCTATGGTATTTTTGTTACAAGAGCCCGGACAGATTAAGACGGTGCCTATAGTTCCAATTGTGTTCTGCTTGTTTTCTTGCTTAGGTAGGGATAGGTCTGCTATTTGCTGTGGTTCTCTCCACCTTGGACTTGGGCTCAGCTCTTCACAGCCATGCTGCAGGCCCTAGACGATAGCCTGAGGTCTCCAAGGATTGACTTTCTCTGTAGAGACAGGCTGGGAGACACTTTTGCAAGGGGGAGGAGAAAGGAAGGATAGGACACTGGAGTCTCCAGAGTCCTGAGGCACCCCCAGTTCCTCCAGGGAACTGATTCAACAAAGTAAGCAAAGCTGTGTTTCAGAGCCTCCTGGGGAGTGATGTGTAGCTCTGGGAAGGCATCCGCAGAGTAATGTCCTACCACTATTGATGCGGATGGTGAGGATGACGAAAGGTCCTCAGTGTGATGAGCAGGAGCCCTGCCAGGAGCTGCAGAGAGCAGCCCTGCTTCCTGTGGAGCATGCCTCCCTCTCAGGAGACAGGCTGACCTGAGGAGGAAGGAGGTGCCTACAGCCGCTTGGCATGGCCACGCTGTAAAGTGCAGGTTATCAGAGCAAAAATGGGAGCTGGGGTGGTCAGCAGGGTCCATGCACAAAGAGGGGACTGGAAGCCAGGTGTGGGGCGTCGAGGAGCATTCACCACACCCCAGGAGCGGTGGGCTGCCTCAAAGGGGCATCCAAGGAGGGTCAGATACGCATTTGTTAGAGGATGCTGGCTGTAGTACGGAAAGCAGACAGCAGGGGGCGGGAGGGAGCCAGCAGAAGTCCTGTCTGGGAAGTAAAGCAGCAAGCCCTAGGGGCACCTCTGAACAAGTGCAGGTCCTGCTCTAGACACTTCCACAGACACAAAGGCAATACAAGACGTGGCCGTGGCCCTCTGGAACATTACAACCACAGCTGGCAGGCCAGGAGACACGCGTTTGCTGTTCTCGTGTGCAGTAAGTAGGTGAGCGAGATTTAGCAGCACCTCCTTATTGTGATGTAAATAAATAAACAGCCCAACAGCAAGGCACACCCTCTCTTAGCATGTGCTTTACCCCCCAAGGCCAGTTAGCTGAAAGTCATACCCAGCCACAGGCTTTTGCCACCCGAACACCACTTCTAGAGGTTTTCCCTGTGCATTTGTAAGGTCATGACCTTTCACTCCCGTCAGTTCATCTTTGAGCGTCAGTATCTTCATCTGTAAAACAGGATCATATAATTATCTCCATCATAGTGTGGTGATGAGGATTAACTCAGATAATGCAAGCAAAGTGCTTAGCACAGGAATTTTTTTTAAATTTTTATTTATTTTGGCTGTTTTGGGTCTTCACTGCTGCGCGCAGGCTTCTTCTAGTTGCGGCGAGTGGGGGCTACTCTTTGTTGCAGTGCGCGGGCTTCTCATTGCGGTGGCTTCTCTTGCTGTGGAGCACGGGCACGCAGGCTTATTAGTTGTGGCTCACGGGTTCTAGAGCTCAGGCTCCGTAGTTGTGGCTCTTGGGCTTAGTTGCTCCGCGGCACGTGGGATCTTCCCGGACCAGGGATCGAACCCGTGTCCCCTGCACTGGCAGGCAGATTCTTAACCACTGCTCCACCAGGGAAGTCCTCAGTGAATGTTAATGATAATTGTTATTTCTGTTTTATCTTGATATGTCAGTATTAAATTATTATTCAACCGCAAAGCTGACTCTCCCATAGGACTGTGAATACCCTGAGGGCAAAGTCATCTTTGCATCTACCATAAACCTAAATGCTTACTGCCAGGGGTGGAGGGGAGAGCTGTGCCCCTGTCCACAGTGCTGAAGCTTCACGGCCTGGGCATTCCTTGTGATGCTTCCTCTCCAACCCATTCACACTGTCCTCTATGAAGATGCCCTCTGCATTTGCACATGATAGTGGTCCTGGCATCAGCTCTCATCTCATCTCCCAGCTATGTTAACTGAATACGGCAGGTAGTAAAAGGGTTCGTACCACATGAACTCACTGTTGGAAAACACACCCTGTCCATGCATTCATTTTTGTAGAGCATATATTGTGTACAAATGATCAAACGTGTATAGAAGAAGAATATATACCAAACAGTTAATGGTCTTATCACATTATGGTGGGATTGGTCACTGCAAGGGGATTGCTTTTTTTGAACTTATTCTCTTCGGTATTTTTGTTTGTTTTAACAATAACCCCTACTTTATCTTTGTCAAATTAATTTGAAAATAATGTTTAACCAGAAAACACAGTTAGGTGCTCGCTTCAGCAGCACATACAGTAAAATTGGAATGACATGGAGAAGATTAACATGGCCCCTGAACAAGGAGAACTCGCAAATTCATGAAACGTTCCATAGTTTTCAGACTTACAGATATTGAAAACAAACTTATGGTTACCAAAGGGAAAACATATGGGGGAGGGATAAATCAGGAGCTTGGGATAAACATAAACACACTACTATGTAGAAGATAGATAACCAACAAGGACCTACTGTATAGCACAGGGAACTCTACTCAATATTCTGTAATAACCTATATGAGAAAAGAATCTGAAAAAGAATGGATATATGTATGTGTATAACTGAGTCAATTTGCTGTACACCAGAAACTAACACAACATTGTAAATCAACTATACTCTAAAAAATTTTTTTTATTATTTTATTTTATTTTATTATTTATTTATTTATTTTTTGCGGTACGCGGGCCTCTCACTGCGGTGGCCTCTCCCGTTGCGGAGCACAGGCTCTGGACGCGCAGGCTCAGCAGCCATGGCTCACGGGCCCAGCCGCTCCGTGGCATGTGGGATCCCCCCGGACCGGGGCACGAACCCGTGTCCCCTGCATCAGCAGGCGGACTCTCAACCACTGCGCCACAAGGGAAACCCTAAAAAAATTTTTTTAAAGAAAACACCGTTAGTTGGGAGAACTGCACAAAGAAGGTTTGGGAACCACCTTCAGGGTCCAAAGGCAGAAGCAGAATCTATTACTCCTCTATCTGAATTTGGGCAGGACCTTGTGACTGCCTCAATGAATAGGATATGGGGGAAGTGACTCTAGGTAGCTCCCAAAACTAGGTCATGAATGGTGATACAACTTCCAGCTGCCTCTCTCTCTGAGGATGCTTGGTCCTGGAACCCAGCGGCCATGCTGTGAGGAAGCCCAAGCCAAGCACTTGGAGAGGCCCAGCCTACAAGCAGCATGAACCTCCCCATGTGTGAGGGAGGGAGCCTTCAGATGATCCAGCTTCTGACCTTTGGATCTTCCAGCTGAGGCCTCAGATAAGGATGAGCAGAGACAAGCCATCCTGACTGATGTGCTCTTCCTGAGTTCCTGATCCACGGCATCTGTAAGCAAAATAAATGGTTGTTTTATGGCACTAAGTTTGGGGGGTACTTTGTGTTGCAGTCATAGCAACCAGAGCAGCTGGTAAGTGGGAGAGTCAGGGTTTGACATTGGGAGTCCCAACCTCTTTTCACTCACCCTCCACCCTTCCCCGCTCTCGCCTTCTGGTGAAACTCCAGCGTTACCAGTGGCTAGCAGCCTCCTCTCTCCCAGTCTGGGGACTTCTGACTAATCTCAAGACCAGTTATTTTTATTTGGAAAATAAACATTAGAATTCAAAGGCAATTGTTCACAGAGTGTGTAAAAGCCTCTCTCGGTGACAGCTGTGGTTCTTCCCACAAAGGAGAGCCACCAGCCCTCTTATCACCCTTGCCCGCGCGCCCCCCCATGCAAGAAAACGTGAGTCAAACAAAAAGTAACGAGACCGTCTGTTCCTTCCTCCCGCCCATGCCGTTTGCTCAGATCACAAAGCTTCCTCCTCCTCCTTCTTCTTCTTTTAAAATAAAGTCTCCGGGCTTCCCTGGTGGCGCAGTAGTTGACAGTCCGCCTGCCGATGCAGGGGACGTGGGTTCGTGTCCCGGTCCGGGAAGATCCCACATGCCGCGAAGCGGCTGGGCCCGTGAGCCATGGCCGTTGAGCCTGCGCGTCCGGAGCCTGTGCTCCGCAACGGGAGAGGCCACAGCAATGAGAGGCCCGCGTACCGCAAAAAAGTAAAAAAATAAAAATAAAATAAAATAAAAAGTCTCCGAGGATCGGAGGGCCAGGCATTGTCTTTTCTGTGCCTACCTTGCTTCCTTCCAAAACAGTGGGACATATGCCTTCCGTTTGAGCTTACATCAAGGCAATTTATTAACAGAAAACAATAATTTGAGGAGTCCTTCTCACAGAGAGCGACCACGGAGACCCCCCGTTCCTGCGGGTACTGTCGGAGGAGATGGGGGTGACATCCTCAATCCGCCCAATCTTTGTTCCTGAGCGGGTGAGGGCTCTGAGGGCTGACTGGGCCCCACGTGCAGGAGTCTTGGTCCTATTTCCTCCTGTGGCCCGGAGTTTGATGTGGAGGGCAGTGATGCCCAGCTCCTTGCACCTCTGGGTTACATCCTAGGCAGCCAACGTGGCAGCATATGGGGATGACTCATCTCAGTCAGCCTTCACCTTCATCCCACCAGTTACACGGCAGATAGCTTCCTTGCCAGAAAGGTCGGTGACATGGCCAAAAGTGTCATTGAAGGATGCAAAAAGGTGGCACACACCAAATGCATTTTCTCGCTCAGCCACCTGAGGGCCGAGGCTGATGATCTGTTCTTCCTTCTTTTCTTTCCCCTTGCGAGGTGCCCTTTCTGCGCATCTTCTCCAGAATCCACCAGCAGAAAGAGAGAGGGAGAGGGCGGGGCGACGGCTCAAGCTCGTCTGGTTTAGCGTTAAAAAAAATCATACTTAACACCTGGGCAGGTCTAGAAGCACATCTATGGGCCCTCAGGCTTGAGAGCCAAGTTTGGCTGAATATTGTAACCAAAAGTGGGGTCAGGCTACTCGTCGCCCAAAAGCCAATAAAAAGGCAAGGGTGGTGGAAAGGAAACTCTGCTTTATTTTGGATGAGGGCAACTGGGGGTGGGGGCAGTGGACGCCTGTCCAAAGGCCAGCTCCTTCCCCATTCCTCTCCTGTGAAAATCTGGGGGTAAGAGCTTTTATAGGCGAAGGGAGAGGGCTACATGCAGAAACAGCACAGTCAGCTCTGACAGTCATCTTGAAATTGGTCATCGGTGGTCTGACCAGTGTCATCCGGACTGTTGTAAGTACAGTTAATCTTCAGTTCCAGCGTTGGTTTGTTTCTATTTCTTTTTTTTTTCTGAATTTTATTTTATTTATTTTTTATACAGCAGTTTCTTATTAGTTATCTATTTTATACATATTAGTGTATATATGTCAATCCCAATCTCCCAATTCATCCCACACACCTCCCCGCCCCTGCCACTTTCCCCCCTTGGTGTCCATACGTTTGTTCTCTACATCTGTGTCTCTATTTCTGCCCTGCAAACTGGTTCATCTGTAGCATTTTTCTAGGTTCCATATATATGCGTTAATACACGATATTTGTTTTTCTCTTTCTGACTTACTTCACTCTGTATGACAGTCTCTAGATCCATCCACGTCTCTACAAATGACCAAAATTTGTTCCTTTTTATGGCTGAATAATATTCCATTGTATATATATACCATATCTTCTTTATCCATTCGTCTGTCGATGGGCATTTAGGTTGCTTCCATGACCTGGCTATTGTAAATAGTCTTGCAGTGAACATTGGGGTGCATGTGTCTTTTTTAATTATGGTTTTCTCTGGGTATATGCCCAGGAGTGGGATTTCTGGGTCATATGGTAGTTCTATTTTTTGTTTTTTAAGGAACCTCATACTGTTCTCCATAGTGGCTGTATCAATTTACATTCCCACCAACAGTGCAGGAGGGCTCCCTTTTCTCCACACTCTCTCCAGCATTTGTTGTTTGTAGATTTTCTCATGATGCCCATTCTAACTGGTGTGAGGTGATACCTCATTGTAATTTTGATTTGCATTTCTCTAATAATTAGTGATGTTGAGCAGCTTTTCATGTGCTTCTTGGCCATCTGTATGTTTTCTTTGGAGAAATGTCTATTTAGGTCTTCTGCCCATTTTTGGACTGGGTTGTTTGTTTTTTTGATATTGAGCTGCATGAGCTGTTTATATATTTTGGAGATTAGTCCTTTGTCCATTGATTCATTTGCAAATATTTTCTCCCATTCTGAGGGTTGTCTTTTCGTTTTGTCTGTAGTTTCCTTTGCTTTGCAAAAGCTTTTAAGTTTCATTAGGTCCCATTTGTTTATTTTTGTTTTTATTTCCATTACTCTAGGAGGTGGATCAAAAAAAATCTTGCTGTGATTTATGTCAAAGAGTGTTTTTCCTATGTTTTCCTCTAAAAGTTTTATAGTGTCCAGTCTTACATTTAGGCCTCTAATCCATTTTGAGTTTATTTTTGTGGATGGTGTTAGGGAGTGTTCTAATTTCATTCTTCTACATGTAGCTGTCCGGTTTTCCCATCACCACTTATTGAAGAGACTGTCTTTTCTCCATTGTATATCCTTGCCTCCCTTGTCATAGATTAGTTGACCATAGGTGCGTGGGTTTATCTCTGGTCTTTCTATCCTGTTCCATTGATCTATGTTTCTGTTTTTGTGCCAGTACCATATTGTCTTGATTACTGTAGCTTTGTATTATAGGTTGAAGTCAGGGAGTCGATTACTCCAGCTCCGTTTTTCTCCCTCAAGACTGCTTTGGCTCTTCAGCGTCTTCTGTGTCTCCATATAAATTTTAAGATCTTTTTGTTCTAGTTCTGTAAAAAATGCCACTGGTAATTTGATAGGGATTGCATTGAACCTGTAGATTGCTTTGGGTAGTATAGTCATTTTCACAATATTGATTCTTCCAATCCAAGAACATGGTATATCTCTCCATCTGTTTGTGTCATCTTTGATTTCTTTCATCAGTGTCTTATAGTTTTCTGAGTATAGGTCTTTTACCTCCTTAGGTAGGTTTATTCCTAGATATTTTATTCTTTTTGTTGCAATGGTGAATGAGATTGTTTCCTTAATAACTGTTTCTGATCTTTTGTTGTTAGTGTATAGGAATGCAAGAGATATCTGTGCATTAATTTTGTATCCTGCAACTTTACCAAATTCATTGATTGGACCTAGTAGTTTTCTGGTGGCATCTTTAGGACTCTCTATGTATAGTATCATGTCATCTGCAAACCGTGACAGTTTTACTTCTTCTTTTCCAATTTGTATTCCTTTTATTTCTTTTTCTTCTCTGATTGCCATGGCTAGGACTTCCAAAACTATGTTGAATAATAGTGGCGATAGTGGACATCCTTACCTTGTTCCTGATCTTAGAGGAAATGCTTTCAGTTTTTCACCATTGAGAATGATGTTTGCTGTGGGTTTGTCATATACAGCCTCTATTATGTTAAAGTAGGTTCCCTCTATG